TTCCAATAAAGAGTAAAATTTGTATATTGATACCAGCATGTGAATGAAAGCATTAAATATATAATTGTTATCATATCAGTTTTATGTTCTTTTTTTATGTAGACTGCAGACGACAAGTTTCTTGTACCCTACGGTGCAGAAATTGAATGCAAGATGCACGTCATTGTCCTTGATAACAATACTAGCGGTCTTTCAAAAAGAGATAGTAAGTAACATACAGCACATGACTTTTGATACTTAATGATACATATCATAGGATTGTAATGATTGTTTAATGAAACAATTCTCATTTTGATTGTTATTGTATATTGTGATTATTCAACAAGGGGAATTCATTTCATATTGAAAGAAAAGAGATGGGATTTTTTCATATAGGCATGCATAATAAAAACTCACTTATCATTTTACAACAAACCACTCTACTTTGTAGATCAACTTCATAGTAAATTCTTAAAAGTGATAAGACTTGTACTCAGCTATACACCCTCTGATCTGAAGTGCTCTCTGGCCTTTAAACAGTATATCTTCTGTTGAATTCTAAGCCAATTCTTATTTCCAAATTTCAATTAGATGTACTCAAATATCAGGTAACAGGGAATAAGAGGCATTTTTTTTAGATGTAGCCTCCGCCCCCCCCCCCTTAACAAAATTAACATCTTATTAATTGTTTTGCAGGTCCAGCCTTTAAGTGTGCGAAGGTAATGGCAGAGGCAGGTAGCAGAAACCCAGTTCGCATTCTTAGAGGAGGTTATGAAGAGTTCTCTGCACTCTACCCCTTTCTCAGGACACAGAAGGTACTATCACTTAGAATATTGTCTCTCATATCCTCTCTCTCTCTAGCTCTCTATCTCTCTCACACCTGTCGCTCCGTCCTCCTTTCTTTTTTCTGTCCGTCTGATCTCTATCATTTTATCACTCTCTGAATGTATCTAGAGCCTAAGTTTATGAGCCTTGATAAATACCATAGATTATGATTTATTAGTTGTGCAACTGTGAAAATGTTATTCAGGAATGTTCATGTTCATATTTTTATTAAAAAAGGAGATAAGTAAAACCCTTTTATTCTTGTTTTAAACAGATATTGTACATGCCACAAGAGTTGGATGAACTTCGACCTTACCCTGTAGAAGTACTTCCAGGTCAACTGTACCTTGGTAATTACCAGCAAGCGTGCAGTCCTGGGGTGAAGAAAGACCTGAAGGTCAAAGGAGTGTTACATATCGCACAAGATGCTGAAGAATTGTAAGTCTATGGGATGTCATCTGTTTTCTTGATGCACTAGGGCTGTAGCTCAGAGTTATATTCATAAATTATTGATAGAATGTAAATCCCTTTTGGAAGAATTCACGTGTGTCAGTGCCGACAAGTTTCAAATTGATGATATGTCAAGATTGTCTACCAGGTATATACATGTATTTATTTTCCTAAGGGATTCTCCATCAAATTGTGGAGCCAACAAAAACTTGACGTGCAGTTTTACAAACAGACAAGATAAAACAGATTAATAGTAATACGTACTTGGCTGTATACCCTCTCCTTTTCAGTGATACAATATTAAGTCGTGTATCAGTCGAGTGGGTGTAATAGGAATTCTCAATTTTACAACATCTTTTATCGATTCAAAGTAAAGTATTCAAGCAAAAAATACAATTTATAGATTTCACCTATCAGTGAGAAAGACATCTTTATAGAAAGGAAGAGGATATATGCTTCTGTATTATTATATCATTTTGCAATGTTTTGTATAGTAAATACTTTGTATGTCTTCAGTATATTCCGTATTGCCCTTGTGTGGCTCTCCAACCCCGATCTGACACTCTAGCTGCAAAACATCATCGAAAAGAAGAAAGAAAGTTGCATTTACAGTAATATCAATCCAATGCAATCTGTATTATGCTGCTCTGTTTACCATAACTATATATAAACTACCACTTAGAATTAGGTCTCCATCAGTTATGGGCCTTATGGGAAAAGCGCAGTATAATTAATAATAATAATAATAATAATAGTATATAAAAACTGTGGCAATATATTTTCTATGATTTCAGACAAGAGGGATTGGTCGGAGCAGAATTGATGCACTGCCCTCTCTCCGATGGGAATGAAGCAGATATGCTCTCACAGTTATCACAAGCTTGCCAGTTTATAGGTGAGAAAAGTTGAGATGTTTAGTGATTTTTTAGCATTGATTTATGATTTGGTAATTTGTAGAAGACTTTGGGCCCCATTGCACAAAACTTAGCATTGATGGTAACTTCGACATCAATAGTAACTACCATGGAAACCTTGATTTTAATTGGCTGTTGAGCTCTGTTACAACCATGGTAGTTGCCATTGATGGCAAAGTTACCATCAATGGGCCCTGTTGTCACAAATGAAAAAACACTGATTTAGAATCTTTTATTGTGTTGCCAATTCAACCATTTCAATGCTTCATTTTGTTTGAAACATCTCTGGTGTCAAATAGCGTATTTCGTTGCAACAGAAAATAATAGACACAGGCAAAGGTTATGCAAATCTCTTTTGCTCTTTGCGCTTGGAAAACTGATATTTAGGTACGACTGAATAAAAACTTATTGAATTAAACCAGATTAAAATAATTAATTCTGTATATGCCACACAAATACATTCTCTGTGCCTAATTGTATTTATCATGGAATAGATATACTAAAGGCTTCAAGATCATTTACATGTAACTGTTTCCAGCTAGTACAAGATTAATCTTTACCAGTGTATAGAGCTGATTGAGACTGGAAATTGATAATTTTGCAAAGCAATTCTCTTGCACAAAGCAATCCTGCCGGCACTTGGTAGTTCTATTGTTTGTACAAAATTTCAGGTGTGGCAAACGAGCCTCTGTGCAGAGAGGTGAAGAAAGCATACAAAGTGTTAAGCAAGATTGCTTATCAATATTCTTGTTTGAAAATGTAGGAAAGCATGTGACAGAGAAGAATGCAGTTCTAGTGAGTAGTGAGCATGGGATCAGCCGGAGTGCTGCAGCTATCCTAGCATACCTCATGTACCATTACAAGTGGACTCTACAGGTAAGCAAAATGAATGTTGGACCATACAGTATGCATCCAAGTTATGTTGATAGTAATATGTTTTTTGCGTGGATGCACTAATATAAAGCAAATTTTTTCAGTCAAATCATGAAAAATGTGAATTTTGATAAACTATTTATATAAAAATCAATGATTACGAATATAAAATATTCTGAAAATAGTATCAATTCTTCAGAGTTCATAAAAGATTTTGTGAAATTTCATGCAAGCAATATGATACAAATCATATAACAAGTTTTGGGGATAAAATGGGAAATTAATAGGATAAAAGTATATAAAGCAATTGATAAATAGTGAGGCAATGACATCACAAATTGATAACCAATAGGCAATTTGTGTGGTGATTTTTTGAGTTCCATAGTTTTTCATACTGTAAAAAAAATCATAAGTTCCTTATCAGTTATCTGATTTTACTCAAACTTTTTTTGTTGTTGCTCTGTTTCTCTTATTTTTCTGCATCTATTAAAGGCAAATTATTTTTGGAGTGGACTTAGCCTTTGACCATTTTGATATAAGTTCATGCACAAGTAAACCATGTTAGAACTTAGACGTATGGAATGTAAATAGTATGTGTATCGTGCATACCATGCCGATCGAATACATTTTATCCATCATGCATAATCCTTTGCCCGTCATGGTTTATGTCATTTACTTGAGATCAACCAAGGCAGCTGCTACCCATTGTATGTGGTTATGTTTTCAGTGTATTTTACATAATCATCAGTGCAAAGTTAAGATACCAAACCCACCCTTATTTTTAAAATGACCATCTTGTTTCACTTTCGTTTGATCCAACAGAAAGCGTACAAACACCTGCAGAACTGCAAGAGCAATATCAGACCGCATCGGGACTTCGTTTCCCAGCTCTCCAAATGGGAGGAGGAGATATTCGAAGAAGGCGTTCAGACAAATATATCAGACCCCTATTACTGAAGGCAATGACAATACTTTTTGTGTTTGTACTCAGGCGCCTAATTGGATACAATTTTGAAACTATGCAATATACCAAGAATAAAGAACAAAGCTTGATCATGTATTTTATATCTCTCTTGTGCTTGTATATCAAGTTTGAAGGAAGAAGAACATAACCATTACTTCAGTACTTCTGTAAAACATTTTATGCAAAGTGAAGTGTTCGTTTGGATAAGCGGTTAAAAGCCTTCAAAATACACTACTGGTTATGCAAAAGAGGTGCTCCTTCAAACAAGCATGCAGGAGCCTTTACAAGTTATATACATGTCAACAATCGGTATGAATAGTTGTTGGCAGTGTTTAAATTTTCATTCTCTACAAATGCAATCAATAGCAAGTTTGCTGCACTTTTTTGTTCACATTACATACATGTTTTATTTTGTTCTGGGTGGGGGGGGGGGGGGGGGGATTGGCTAGCCACATTGCAGCAAGCTTGTAACTAGTTATATGATTGGAAGTGAAGTCGTTTTGTCAGAAAACACTTTGAAAACCCTGCCAGCATGTTTTTCTTTCAGCAGAGTTTGCTGTACCATTTGTGCCAATTCTGTCTCTTTTTACTTCATTGTGCTTTTGAAACATTTGTACTCAGAGAGATCATGTTTAAATACATTATTTCACAAGTCCAATAGCGACATATTGTGATCATTGAAAAAACATACACATTCCACACAAATTTTAAGTACTAGTTGAGTGAAACTGATCAAAATGTATATGCAAATCATTTTGTTATCAATTGTTCACTTGTGTGTGATGAAGATCATAACTGAACAAATTATGATATTTTTTATTCTTTTACAATCCACTGACTTTATTCATGTCAGAAATTGACGTAGATGATAGAAATGGACAAAGATCAGAAGCATATTTGTAGAGAGATTTCACGATAACTGTCAATCAGGATCAAAAAGTATTATTGTAAATAGACAAAGAACAACATACTGTGTGGATGAAATGATCAAAGAATTAATTTTCCATTTTGGAGTATTTATTTACATCTGTAATAAGGTGCGGAATATATTAGAGGAAATTAAATTACTGAGTAAGAATATAATTCATGGCGTAAATGTATGTGTCAATAATTATTCAGAATAATTAGTTACCAAGATTGTATATTACTTTAGTCGAAACTTGCCTATATCTAAGGTAGCTTTAATAGCGAAATGCACTACATTTTGCTGTAGTCTTTTTTTCTATATTCACTTTCACGTATTGCTGTTCCGCACTTTTGTACAATCAGAAATATAAGCAACTTCTTTGCAGCAGTGTGCTTGACATCTATGTTTCATTTAGAGTTAAATCCTTGCTACACTCAGCAAAAAAAATTAAGACACTATTTTAATGTTGATGATTAAAATTTTCAAATAAATATTAAATATATTTTATTGATGGTTTATATGAAAATTTCGAATATTAAAGAGTGTCCACTATCTTTTTTTGCCGAGTGTTTTAAGACTTGGTAAACAGATCCATGCATGTTAATATTTGTAGATAGACAATTTATAATGTAGGGGTCATAGTGAAATGAACTTTGAAGGTTAGATATATTGTCTATTTAAGAACAAAGCTCAAACTAGATGTACATGTTTTCTGTCTTCATTCTATGCAAATGATGACAATTTAATGTGCTGGTGTATTTTATACACAATTGGAGAAGAAAAAAGTTTGTCCATTCTTCTTAAGGTACTATGAATGAATCAACCACCAAATTATCTTTTTGTTGTGGAAAACAAGCACTATGCAATATATTTCTGTGTTTATATTGATTATTGTAAAACTTCTATTTATTGATTAGCAGTGATGAATAAATTCTATTTGTATTTGTCACAAATTTGAAAGTTTGACTGTTTCAGTTCATGATGATGGTTGTGTTTGTTTAACAAAGGAAGTTACATAAAGATCTAAGTTTTAGCATTGCTTATAAAACATGACTAAGATCAAACATCAGAATATAATCCATTGAAAATCAGGCAAATAGAAAATGATGTTGTAAATCATAAAACTTATATTCTTATAAACACAGAGCTCAATGAATACATGCAGGACCTTTGTTGCACGCAGTTGTCCTTCATTTTTTTTTTACTGACGTATCTGAATGAGCTGTAAGGGTTCTCAAGATTGAAAATCTTCCCTACAGGCATTATTTAGAAGCAAGCATAGCAGTAATTCCAAAAGACACATCGCACAGATGATTATCCCGAGGTTATTCTAGGTTTCCATAAATTTATTTCAGAGACTTAAGATTTGACTTTTGACTTTTTGAGGCCAATGTGCACTGGACTCGAGACTTGTGTTAACCCAAACTACGTATACATTGTATTTGAAAATGACAGGTTTACAAAATCTTTATTATCTCCTTTTTAGAGGTGGGCCATACTAAAATATACTATAGGCACATAAACATATATATCCCATCTAAATGCATTGTACTGACATTTATATTACTTTTCAAAGAGAGTTGCATCCAAACATCAGTAAGAGAAATATTGAACCAATGAACCTTCAAGGTACAACTGTTCCTTCGTAGGTCAATGCAATGTCTAAGAGTTCTTGACCAATTGCTTCTTTGCTCCCTCCGGGCAAGAATTCTGTTGCAAGCTCACGGAGGGTCACAGCGATGCGTTGAGATGTAATGGCTTCTCGTGGGATTGCGTGCTTCCACTTGTACCTAGCATCGTCACTCAGTATTATCAAGCTTCTCCTTGGCATTGGTATTAACAGTTCATGGACCAACCACTCTTCTTGCTGACCTCTGACATCATGATTGTCTTGACGATAGTAGGAGTTTGTTCCAGAATCACTGGGTGCTCCATGACTAGTAGCATCAGTTTCATATTTCAGGAATAAGAAAGTGTCTGAGAGTAGATTGATGGTGACGAGTCGGTTCCCCCAAAGCCAGAAGTCATCAAAATGAAGGTCTATGGCTGATCCTCTGTCGGGCGTGTACTCTAGATGGCACTGTTCAACAGGGAGGAAGTCTTGAAGCGTTGGGAGGCGTGTCATACGGGACACAAGTGGTTTGCTGAAGGCAGGTAGACCGGTGAAGCCACCTTGCTTGACTTTTCTACGCTTGAAGTTGGGTTTAGGGCCGTAGTCCTGTAGATGATATACATGGGAAATACAAGAAAGTGACATTGATTCAATAAAAATTTGTAGGGGGGAGGGAGAGAAAAATCTTATTTCATTGAACAAGAGATTTGTTAATCCCGTCATCCGTTACAATAAAAAATTATGTATATTTTTCAAACTACCCCAATGAACCATGAGTCCAAATAAACTCAAAAACAGTTTCCAAATGTTCTACTTATAATCTCTAAAAATCACAACAAATACATGCACTTTAAAGGTACTATGTCCCATTTGCAGACCAAAAGAATGAAAAAGTTAAATTCCAACTGCATTTGAAAGATAATACTAATTTAGAACTTCCCTAAAAAAGGTGGGGCTTGAAAATGTCTTCAAGTGGGAAAATAACGACTATCAGTTGTCAAATCGACTTTAGGGCTATAGAGCCCAAAAGTAATAGTCTTGATTTTCAGACAATTGTACCGAATGGTCATACGTTTTATGCTGCGCAAAGATTCAATCAGTTTAATCTTGGCCATCACAAGAAGTGGGCTATTGATGTAGATAAATGCTCATGTACCCTTTACAACTCTTTTCATTTATGTTATTACCAAAGAAGAAAAAAGCCAGTCAGTCACTCAATAGTGTCTGACAGTGAAGTCTAGCAAGTAAAGGGGTTTCCTTGCATAATTTGAATATGAGGAACACTGTTAACGTTTAAATTTCACAGATAGGACATACATGACATATTCATAATTCCTGCAAAGTTCTACAGAATTCGAGGTTGGCTGCAAAAGGGACATAGTAACCTTTAAGCTTAGAAGCTGGAATATTTATCAAATTTGAGAATATGTGTACACAAATTTAAAGTTAAAAAATAAATTAAATAACAAATAGGTAGTGATCATCTGACTGGAGCTTACCTGTTTGAATCTTCCTGACTGGGAGGATTTCCATGGACTCTCTTCAATCATGTGCACCATCTCCATTTCCTCTTCATCTGTGATAAACTCTGGTATCACCTGTATACCAGGCAACCTAAAGCCCTGAGTAGCGTGGTGATCAGGGCACACTGTGTCTGGTGTTGGCTGTTTTGTGCTGCTCTGTCCCATCTCTATGTGAGGAGGAGGCTGGATATTTCCACACAAGTAGCAGTATCTCCAGAGTGCCTACATAATAGAAATAAAAAACAAAGTGCCTGAAACTGATTTCATCCACTGGCAGTTTAAATTAAGGGGGGAGGGAGACAACTTGCTTGTGCCCGTCTTTAAACCCAGTCTGGAATTTCTTAAGGATAGAGTTTTATTGACTTATTTTATTTTCTGGTTTGCTTTGTCACTCTATTAAGAATTGTGCCTGTTATTTTACATGACTCTACCCCCCCCCCCCCCCCCCACTAATTTTAAAGATTTTACTACCCTGTGCTCAGGAATGAAAATAATTATGAAGAATGTGCTCAGTATTTGTACACACATTGTAATCACAAATTAGAAGGAAGAATCAAAATAGATATTTCCTTGTTTAGAAACAAAAATTGAGGGGGGAGGGGTGTATCAGATGATTCAGATCAATTGTCCAACAATGTCCAATGCTCACTATGTGTTGCTGGTGGGGAAATGTTTGTCATCTTAGCTGGAGGAAACAATTTTTTCAATGAAAAAGTATAAAGTCGTTTACCTGTAAATATTCACTGCCCGTTGATGCATTCTTCACATGGACATCTTTGCCTTCACAGACGAGGCATGATCGGATTCCTGTACATCCACATGGTCTCGGATAATGAAGATCTGCCATTTGAGTGAGTTACATGTACCTACGCTGAATAATAATAATAATAATAGTGGGTTCTTGTATAGCGCTCATGTCAGTCAGATTTGACCCTCCTGGCGCTCTCCCGATTATTACCCTGGCTTTAGCACGGCTGCCATACGGCGCTCTAGCATTTCAAGGAATAAATTCCTACCAGGTACCCATTTAGTTCACCTGGGTGGAGTGTGGCAAATGTAGATCAATGTCTTGCCAAAGGACATTAGTGCGGCGGCGGGATTCCAACCGCAGACCTTGTGATCGACAGTCCGGCGACGTATCCACTCGACCACAACACCTCTACATTAGTTTGACATCAATTAATTAATCAGTCAATCATGATCATCTGATCATTGAATCAATCAATGACAACGACACTCAACAGTGATCATTCAATGATTCTTTCATCAAACCAGACATGCTAGATGATGATGTCAGTCCAAAATCTCTGGACTAATTGAAAGCACCTAAATGATTATACTGCATGATCGGACATCAAATTTTTAGATTGCGATAACTCTGAAATCCTTCGACGATAAATTTTCTAGTTGAACCAATTTGTAGTAAAAAACTTTGCCGTCCATTTGGTAATAATTAAAATAAATAAATTTGTGTAGAATATGAGAAATCATAGAGCGAATAGCACATTTTGTAATATGTTCTAAAATGTCCGCGAACTTTGGTCACCCCTGGCCCTTCATACGCATCTACATAGTACAGTTATTGATCTTGACATAAAATGCTATAGGTGGGGCACGTATGAAATATAATTGGCATAAAATGACATAGGAACGCATCTAAAATTCACTATAATCGTTTAAACTATAAATTCAAATTACCTTTATCGTTAAGAATTACTTCAAGGTATTTTAGAGAAAACCCCTACCAGATAGGACCGAAATCGTGTAGCACATTTGGCACAGTCGAGATAGAGAAAAATGTTGAACATAGACACCAATTTCTTGATGAATGATATATGCCTAGCCTGAATCTAGCTACCAAACTTTTGTACCCCTATATTCGACGTGAGAAAATAGCACACCATCAACGCTAAACCGGAGATGGTCCTTGCCTTTCATTCTCAACCTCGCAAATATTTGTTGGGGTTGCACGAACTGTGTGGGATGCATGTAAGGGAGGAGGCCATATTATAGACAGTGGCGTAATGAGCAAAAACCTTTCTTTTTTTTTGGGGGGGGGGAGAAAAAAAATCTGTATCACCATCAGGTGGCATAGGCCTATTGGGCTATACAGACGCCAGGGGCGGCAGGGGAGGGGGCCCAATTCGTGAGAAAATATTTAGCGGCGAAATAGCCGGCCGATAATTCGCATACTGGGGGGGGGGGGTAATTTATTTATTTTGTTGCTCCCGAAAATTTGAAAATCGTGCCGGCCGATATTTCGCTCAGGCCCCCACCCCCCCCCCCCCCCCCTGGATCCACCACTGGTGTCCAACAATATTTCACAAAATAACTAAGATTTCTATTGTGCAAAATGTATGACTCCGGAGAGTCTTTGCATTTTAGAGTACCTAGATAATATGCTTTCCATAATACTCTCATTACCTTAGCCTGCTTATATCACTCTTTCAATCCAATGGACTTGAATTTCTCTGTGCATTAACCTGTACAATAAACTATAATTACTTTTACCTCATCTATCTCAAATCTTATTTTTTAAAGAGCACCTAAAAAGATTGTAAAACAAAGGGGTTTTTAGTATATATTATTATAGCGATAGACGCCCTGTATATATTTGAAATGTTGGTTTATTTTGCTGAAAGAATATAAACAATTTTTTGCCGAGACATGTTGAAGAAAAATGGTCTAATGGAAAAAGGAATAGATTACACTTTTCTGCTCATTATTGAAGACAGGGAGGGAAAGTCCACCCTGATATTAAGTTAGCTTCATTAGAAGCAGAACAATGGGTTTTCTGGTGTACGCAGAAAATCTACATTTTGTATTCTTTCATCAATATTCGACTTTAAATGCATTTGTTTTGAAAACCCTTGTAGAAATATGACTTAAATTAGATCCTCTTTCACATTATGATAAAATTTGAGTCAAATTTTGCCATCAAACTTTTGGGGCTCCCAACGCTTAAGAGGCTCAGTCTACAGTCAGACGCATACAAAAAATTAAATTTACACAAAAGTGAGAAAAAAACCTTGAAAATCATGTCATTTCAGTAACATATTTGTAAATAACTGGTATTGAATTAAAAATTAACCACGTTTGAAACATGTACATAAGCCAGTGTATATAGATGATTGAAGAATTAAACACATATAAAAACGAACAGAATCTTGACTGCACGACATACCGAGTCGAGATTTCATACGAATACTTATGTTTTCACTATGTGATATTTTATTCATCATAGAAATGCCCATGAATGCATATTATCTTTATTTCAGAAACCATAATAAAAAACATGCATGCGCCGAAATTGCTCTTAATAAAAATTGGGGGGGGGGGGGGCACATTATATCTCTTTACAAATCATTTTGTTGAATTCGGTTATCTTGTAAATATTGTAGGTAATTTGAAAAGCTCATTCTAATAGATTTAGTTTTAACGTTATAATTATCTTAATCCCCGTTTATAAAAATAAAAAAATCGTGACAAGAGTCATTCGTACGAAAAAAAAAACAGAATGAGTGATTGGCCCCCATTTCACGAGGCTTGTTTAAACCATGATAAATGATTCAGTTAGTTGTTGACAAGTAGGTCAGGTTCTGAATTAATAAAATAATGTGCACTGGAACCTTATCATGAACTCTGAACAAACTGATGTAAAAAGATATGATTACATTTCAGGGGCGGATCTAGCTTTTTGCTAAGGGGACGGTTGACCAATAATGACGATGCAGAGCATCGTCCACGAGCCGCGAAGCGGCGAGCCGATTTTTTTTGGGGTGTTTATTTGAACCCCGTAAGTGATGTTTTCCTGGCATCTATTAACACAATGGAGACCATAAAAAGCAGTGCATGAACACGTCCGTATTACACCCCCATGTATGGTAATTTACCCTGTATGCCAACTTTTTTGCATGATTCAAACATACCTTCCAGTAAAAAAAGATGCGAGACTGGATTGCCGCAACTTCTTTGCCCTGTTTGCTTCCATACTGCTTGTCACTACACTCAGACCAGACTGATAAAAAAGTGAGCAACTTGAACAAGTAATCCAGGAAATGAGCAGCCCAGCTCAGCGTGCGTTGCCAGGTTAAATCTTCACAAAATCCCCACCCAAACGACACTTAAAATATCCCCAAAGTTGCCAAATTTTGACAGAAAATCCCCAAATTCGTTTTTCATAAAACTCAATATTATTTTCATTCCCAAATATTTATTTTTCATCCCCAAAGACTTCAACAATCCCCCAATTTTTATTTTTTTTTTAATGTGGGGATTTTGGGGATGAGAATCGGCAACGCTGGCCTAGCTTGTCACTTCGGCGGTGGCCCGTGTCCTCAAAAAAGCTGATGGGGGGGGGGGGGGCAAGGGACTCTGTGACATTTGTTCGCCCAACCCCCCCCCCTCCCCCAAAAAGAAATAATAATAATAATAATAATAATAATAATAATAATAATAATAAATGAAATAAATACATACAGGTGTAGAAATAGAATAAAATAAAATTACAAGTTTTAAAAAAAAGATAAGATTTGAAAAAATGGTCCCCGGATTTTTTTTTTTGGGGGGGGGGTTGCAACCCCCCCAACCCCCCCCCCCCCCCTCTAGATCCGCTTCTGCATTTACTCATCATGTATTCAGATGCACATACAATATAATGCAAGAATAAAAGTACAAAAACAATTTTTTTTTTAAATGTAGTAAACAACAATTTTGAGTTTAATTAGACTGTTTACTATCAAACTGCAGATTTTAGGTTCCAGTATGATGAATATATACTAAAATATAATTGTTATTTGTTTAGGAATATTCGGTCACGAGACGTCGGACAGGTTGCACATTCCATTTGGTAATTGATCATCTAATTCAGACTCTCGAATACAACAACAAATTGATTGATCATATACATACAATTTAATTTCATCACTAGTTTTCAAAACGAGAGTACACTCGGCGTGTGTCCTCGACGATTTGTTTGATATCAAGCGATTTTATCATTTTCTGTTACGATACAAATTTTTTCAGATAAGATATTCCCAATTCTTTTTGATACGTTAAAGTATAATTCGAAATCGTAAATAGTTACATACAGTTCGTACTAGGTGTACCCAATATTAATTTTTTTTAAATGTATTTTTGATGACGAATCATCGCCGAAAACTGACGACTTATGGTTTGTTTCGCTGTCTGTTCCCCCACTTTCTGAATGTTCTCTCTCTCTCTCTCTCTCCTTCTTTCTGTAAGACATCCGTTCAGTGTTTGACTTCTGATTAATGTTACATCAGTCGGTGATATATCCATCTCTAGCTGTACATTAATGTTGTTGCCATGTTCACCCCCCCCCCCCCCCCCCCCACTCTTCGTCGTGATCTGCCCTCCACACACTTTCATAAGCTATACCTGAGTCTATATAAGCCATGCAGTCACCAACTGAGAAACATAAAGTAAAAACTCAAGCAGTTGACCATCTTTCTACAACTTGTAGAGGCGTGAAATCAGCTTCTGATAAGTATGGTTCCAAAAACGAGGATGAAGAAATGAAAATTTCAGAGCTGAACCTTTCTCACAGCAGACATCTCGATATACACGAGCAGCAGAATGTCTGGAGAAAGATATCTCCCAACAGCCTGTACAAAGTGGTGCTGGACGTAGGTGGTTAACTATGGTCAGTTTAATTTCCGGAATTGCTTTCGTGTGCGAGTTGCTCCTGCAGAGCTCGAACTTTTGGAATCACATCCTTTAGCGACCGTGGGCGAAGCATGGGTGCCTTCTGAGAGCAAGACTCCCCAATGGCGATCAAGCCTTGAAGTCGAGCGGCTCGGCCGATGAACACCAGCAGGACTCCTACAGAATAGATGTCACTGGCCTTGGACAAGGTTGTTCCGTCATCGACGACCTCGGGTGCGACGTAGACGTTCCCACTAAGCTTCTTATGGTCTTCCATGACCGATCGCTTGATGGTTACATGTGGTGGAGAGGCGATGGTGCTGACGAGACCTAGGTCTATGATGCACCCTTGCCATCTCTCGTTACGAAGCTCCAGGAGAACGTTATCAGCCTTGATGTCGTTGTGAAGCAAGCCGTTGGAGTGCATGAAGTGTATGCCTTCCAGGACATCATCAGCGATATCTAGCAAGCTGGGAGGAGACAGGAACGGGCTGGGGTTGCTCTCCATGATGTTGAGCAAAGGGAAGACCTTCCCTGTCTTCTTGTCTCCGATGAATTCTTGAACAATGCACATGTTCTCATCAAGCACCAGAGTACCGTAGAGTTTGGGAAAGTGGTTGCTCTTGGAGAGGAACTCTGAGACCACAGCTTCCTTCGTGAACTGACCGAAGTTGGCTCTTCTCTCAGTCTCAATCTTAGGTGGAGAGAAGTATGGTGGGATAAAAGGCTCCTTGATGGCAACGGTGTCCGAGCTGGCTGTAAGTCGGGCAAGCAGCACACGTCCAAAGGCTCCCCGCCCAATCTCCTTAAACTTAAAGTCGTTATCAAGAATGGATGTGGCATGGAAAGTGATGACATCATGCATGCTGAGCGATGCACATGGGTTAGATCCAAGTGTGGCGATTACGGCTACATCCGCAGTGGTCCTGACATCAAGAATTGGACCTTGCGCATTGCCAAGATGCGCTCCTAAGCTATACAAAAAAATAACAAACCAATGGGAGCATTATAAATTTAGTTTCCATTTGTTTGTTTTTAGATAACACTTAAACAAATTGACTGCTGAGTTAATTCATTTCCTAATTGGCTCGTATACGGGAGCCAATTACTTTTCATAGATTACCGAACTGGAAATATAGTCTCTGCATCTTCTTTAACGACGATATACTGATCTTTGATCACATCCAATGGCCAGGATAGACTCTTTGTGGGCATCTCTTTTTATGTTAAGCAAATTATGAGAGCATTGTGTCAATACATATATTTGCTTTTAGCCTATTTGTTACACTGAAGAAGAAAATGAAGATC